AAAAAAAAAAAAAGAGCCCATATGTGTGTAATGCGCTACTTGTAATAATCTGATAGTCTGATCCAATATAAATTGAACAGCTAAAAAAAAAACTATATTTTTCCTTTATTTTATTTTTTTGTTTTTATTTATTTATTTTGTTTGCTTTTCTGCTTTGTTTTGTTTTATTATTATTTTTTGTTTTGTTTTCACCCGTCTTTCTTGTATTTGTTTGTTTTTCTGTTTTCATTTGTTTGTTATCTGTCTGTTTTTTATTTGTTTGTTTTTTGTCTTATTTTCATTTGTTTTGTATGTGTTTTATTGTTCTGTTTTTGTTTCATTTTCGTTTGTTTTTGTTTTCGTGATTATCAGAATCAGCTGAACAAGTCTAGGTTCCAAAGTCTTGTCAGTTCCAAAAACTAGCGACAGATTATAGATAATAACATTTATGTTCCAAATTTTAATTTACAGTAAATATTGTGTAATATGAATCTCATTTATTTTCCCTAAACTGTGTTATATATTGACACTTTGTCAGCCATGTTTTCTAGATATCAGCATCATGGTGACTTGTCGGGTATAATCATTTGGTGATAAAGACACACTGGACGTTACATAGCCTTTCGTCCTTCAACCGTCTCGTACTTTAAGTTTGCTTTGGCTTTTGAATTTCGTGTCAGTCCAACCAGATCAGTCTTTGTTTACTGTGAGTCAGTTCACCACTCATGAATAAGTTTGATGTCTCATGCCAGGCATGTACCTCACTCTGATGTGCGTGCTGGTTTTTCAATGCCGCCCGCAATGCAATTCTCTCCTCTCCTGCTATCCCCCCCTCCCTCGAGCTCCTCTCTCTCTGCCTTCCATCATGCTGTCTCTCTCTCCCTCTTTCTCTCTCCCCTCATCACACTCTCATGCACACACTACGCTATACAGCTATCCTCCCACAAGGTCAACTCTGAGCTCTTGATCACCGCAGCTCGGCCAGATCGCATCCCGAGCACACACACGTGTGTTTGCACACGAATGGAGATGCTTTTTGTTTTTTGATGGCATTAAGCTGCGTCGGTTATTAAAAGCATGCCTGTGAGCCGTGGCTTTGCCGGTGGAATCCAATGCAGGCGTCCCCCTGTCGCAGAGAAGCTGTTTGGATGTGCTCATCCCATGCAGAAGCGGAGCCGCTATTGCGCTCTACCTGTGCAGTGATTCACTTCAGCTGATATCCTCCACCTACAGCAAGGATGTAACGGCTCCTCAGTGGACAGATTATGCTCTGAGAGGATCTCTTCTAGTTTTTTACCCCTTTCCTGTCCTCTTTTTCCTCCTGTTTCGGTCTTTCTTCTACTGGATCACTTCAGAGACCCGATACCACCATGTCCTTGGCATTCTGCGGCAACGACAACAACTCGGCCGCGTACAATGTGGATGCCGGTGTCCTCAACAACGGCTGCTTCCTGGATGCCCTCACAGTGGTGCCACATGTCTTCCTGCTCTTCATCACTTTTCCTATCCTCTTCATTGGTGAGTGTCAAAGGCAGGTGAGAAATAGTGCACGCTTGTGTCACAATACTAAGTGGATGGAGTGAATGAACACTGTGACTTTACTATGTACTGTAAGTTTAATTATGATAGATAGGCAGAGAGATAGAGAGATGGAAGGACGGATAGATAGACAGATGGACTAGTTAGATACATAGACGTAGACAGACAGGCAGATAGACGGATGGAAAGATAGATAGAAAGGCAGATGGATGATAGACAGATGGATAGACAAACAGAATAGATAGATAGATAGATAGATAGATAGATAGATAGGCACGGATAAATGAGCAGATAGATGGATAGACAGACAGGCAGATAGATAGATAGATAGATAGATAGATAGATAGATAGATAGATAGATAGATAGATAGATAGATAGATAGATAGATAGACTTACAGGTGGATACACAGATGGACAGAGATAGATGGGCAGATAGACAGACGGAAAGGACAAGCGGATAGACAGATGGATGGATAGATAGACAGTTGGATAGACAGACAGATAGATAGATGGGTGGACCGATAAACAGACGGATGGAAAGACAGGCAGATAGACAGACAGAAGGATAGACAGATAGATAGACAGATGGACACATAGACAGACAGATGGGCAGATAGACAGACGGAAGGACAAATGGATAGACAAGCAGACAGATGGATGGAGACAGTTGGATAGACAGACAGACGTGTGGATAGACAGATGGACAGATAGATGTGTGGATGGACAGATGGACGGATAAACAGACAGATGGAAAGAGGCAGATAGACAGACAGTTGGATAGACAGAAGGACACAGATAGACACTCGGAAGGATAGATGGATAGATAGACAGACAGTTGGATAGACAACAAGGCACATAGATGGGTGGATAAACAGATGGAAGGTTAGACGAATAGATATACAGGTGGATAGACAGATGGATGCATAAACAGGCAGATAGATAGATGGGCGGAAAGACAGACAGACAGATAGATAAACTGAGAGACGAATAGACAGATGGATAGATAGCTAGATAGATAAATAGATAGACAGACATACATGATATGCATGACATGCTTTTGAAGGTTCTTTTGACACTTTTGAAGGTGTACCGCACCATTTAGATTGGTGTTTTGTTTGTAAAAGGATTCGAGAAACAGACAGGAAATGATTAATGAGCTCTTTGAAATTCATTTTTGAACATTTGGCTCATTCATTATGAAGATAAACACTGCATAATTGATCTGCGCTCAAGTAGTCATTTGCCACAAATGTGGTTTGGTGAACCACATAGAGAGACCAGGATAGAGTTTGTCAAGCCTCTGTGGGAAACATTTTTATTTTAGACAAACCAATGTGACCTTAGTGGTGGAATGTACAGCTGAATCCATCCTACTGTCAGAGAGTCGAGTTACAGGAAGAACAGCGCTCGATTCCCCATACCAGAAGAGTCAGAACAACGGTAAACAATCCCACTAATGCCAGAGTGAACTAACCTGAACCAACCTTCCATCACACGTTCTATTATTAATTTTCCAAATGATTTGGAATCATCACTGATTGATTACATTTTTTAAATCTTTTTTACTGTGAAGGAATATTTGATAAACAAAATTCCGCATCCTGCAGATGTCATGTTTCTGCTAATAATAAATATTGAACTTTCAAATAAATGTTGCTCTTTTGAACTTTCCATTGATTTAAGAATTTTTTTTTACAAAAATATTAAGCATCACAACTGTTTTAAACATTGATAATAATAAGAGATGTTTCTTCAGCAACAGAACACTTAAGGTCCGGATCAGTGAATCAGAATCATTGAATTCCGTACAAATCCTATCTCAGATGGAGATTTATTATGGGGAATATTATGCATAAAACCCTACATCAGTTTTAATATGCAATACATGTTGCTGTTTGTTTTGAATCAGCATCCTCATATCCCTAATATCCGGTTCTTCAAGATATCAAGGGCAAAATCTGTCCCAGTGTTATTTCAGCAACCTGGAAAGGACATTGATTTTGAAACACTTTTCCACTGACACAGTATATATGCTCAAGTTAGAATTGCTAAGCACCTGCCAAATGTGCATGTGTAATGTTTTTTATTAAAGATGATCATATATGGACAAACAATTTATTCCTCAAGGATAGTTTACATCACTTCCTGTCAGAGAGAATTATGTTGCTGTAAGCGATGTACAGATATTTAATCACTGTATTGTAGGTTGGGGGAGTCAGAGTTCCAAGGTACACATCCATCACAGCACTTGGCTGCACTTCCCTGGACACAACCTCCGCTGGATCCTCACCTTCATCCTGCTCTTCATCCTCGTCTGCGAAATAGCCGAGGGCATCGTGTCCGACGGGTGAGATTTATGTGTCGATTCATCTGTCTGTCTGTCAGTCTGTGTGAATCTCATGAAACCTGTCAAGAACCTGCCTAAGGCATATTTCACCCCCAAATCAGTTTCAATAAAAATCATTAGGATTTTTTGTTTTGTTTTATTGTATTGTTTTCATGACAGTTACTCACATCCTCTATCCTTTTTTATGAAAATCATTACTATTTATCTTTTTTTTTTCATTTAAAGGCAATGCATATATGATGCATCAAATTGATATATATATATATATATATATATACTAGTGTTGTCAAACAATTAATCGCATCCAAAATAAAAAATTTTGTTTACACAGTATATGTGTGTGTACTGTGAATATGTATTATGTATATATAAATACACACCCATGCATGTTTATATTTAATAAAAATATGTTACGTTTATATATTAAATATTTTTATATATAAATTATATGAATATAAATATATACATGTAAATACATATAAATATTTTCAAAATATATACTGCATGTACATAATAAATATGCAATGTTTGAGACAGTTGTGCTGCTTCATATTTTTTGTGCAAACCATGATACACTTGTTTTCATGAGTCTTTGATGAGTAAAAGTAAAAAAAACAAAAACAAACAGCATTTATTTGAAATAAAAATATGTAACATTATAAATGTTCTTACTCTCACTTTTGATCAATTGAATGTGTCCATGTGTAATAAAAGTACCAATAATTAATATGCATTAATTATGTATAAATAAAAATCTTGAGAATGGAATAATGGAAAATGGAAATTACCAACAAAAAAAAAACACATTTCACCTTTTAGTCATAAAGATAATCAGAATTGTAAAAGGTTTGCTTTTATTTGTGTACATTCACAATAAAAACAAATCTTTGTGCCCATGTGAATCCTCATGTTCTGCTGTGCTTTTTGCGCATGTAAAATCAATCCCCGGAAAACAAATGTTAGTATTTTTAATGGGTCACTGACACCCGTTATCCTTTCTCAAGATTTAAAATAATCTTGTCGGTTAACGGTTAATAACCGGTTAATGAGCGTCGGTTGTCGGTTAGGAGAAATAACCAAAATTAACATCCCTAGAAGCAACCTAGAACAATTAGTCTGAACTGTTTCATTTAGTCTTTCATTAATTAAACTCTTCATTTATTAAATTAAACTTTATAGAATATTCATAGAATGCCTGAAGCCATGAAGTTTCACAGTCCAGAAACAGTTAGCCAGTTTTGTCATCAAACTATTTGACATTGTGAGATTTATGAAAGGAAACTCACTGTTAAATTATGTTCTTCAATATTGAGATTAGAAACATTGCTTTTCTTTCATGTAGCCTACAATTGGAAGAATTTTGACAGTGTTTTCTCAATTTTTCTACAGCGATATATGTGTTTTGCACACCCCACTGAAGTGAAGCCCCCAGAGGATTTACAGGACCTGGGGGTTCGATTCCTGCAGCCGTTCGTGAACCTGCTGTCCAAAAGCACATACTGGTGGATGAACACCTTCATCACTGCAGCACACAGACGCCCCATCGATCTGAAGGTCATTGGCAAGCTACCAATTGCTATGAGAGCTCTAACTAACTACCTGAAGCTCCGCGAGGCCTTTGAAGCCCAGAAGGTACATTTTAAGAATATGTCTCTTTTTTTTCATTATATTTTACCTTTTACAAATAAAATTTTTAGGGAAATGTCCTTACTTTTTCTGCCAGTGCTAGGATGTGACAGCAAACTGAGTAAAATAAGATTTTTATGGAGTAGACTCTAAACAAACTACTGTATACTGAATCTGACACTTTAGGTCTTTATTTAAAAAACAAAAACAAAAAAATCCCTGTATCTGAGTTAGAATAGTTTCCAAAAGCACCGTTATGAACACAGTGATGCTGTAAAAGCAGATTAATGAGTGGATGAGAGTGTTTAATGTCCCTGACAGCCTCTGTAGTCTCATTTAGCCACTTGTTAGCAACTGCCTTTTTCAAGACAAGTAAGAGCTATAAAAAAAATCACAAGTGGATTTACTGATGTGTTTTATGTTGTAGAATAAAATGTGAAAATATCCTAAGCTTGTGTTAAACACAGACCTTATTTCAGGCATTTAACCAAAAGCCCATTTAAAAGAACATTTACTAGAGTGCTAAAATGCTAGCTTGTTTCCTTTTTTTGACCTAAAAAAAAATATGCAAGCACTAAAACCAGAACCAAATCCGCTAACATGGTAACTTTTTGCCAGGTTTTGGTCTTCAAAAATATGGATTTGTTAAAACCAGAATTGAAAGTGCTAACATGCTAACTTGTTTCAGGGTTTTGGCCTGCAAAAATACAGAACTGCTACATAAATACGGAAGTGCTGAAACTGGAACCAGAAGTGCTAACATGCGAACTCATTTAGGGGTTTTGGCCTACATAAATACGGAAGTGCTGAAAGTGGAACCAGAAGTGCTAACATGTGAACTCATTTATTGGTTTTGGCCTACATAAATACGGAAGTTCTGAAAGTGGAACCAGAAGTGCTAACATGCTAACTCATTTATTGGTTTTGGCCTACATAAATACGGAAGTGCTGAAAGTGGAACCAGAAGTGCTAACATGCTAACTCATTTAGGGGATTTGGCCTACATAAATACGGAAGTGCTGAAAGTGGAACCAGAAGTGCTAACATGCTAACTCATTTAGGGGATTTGGCCTACATAAATACGGAAGTGCTGAAAGTGGAACCAGAAGTGCTAACATGCTAACTCATTTAGGGGATTTGGCCTACATAAATACGGAAGTGCTGAAAGTGGAACCAGAAGTGCTAACATGCTAACTCATTTAGGGGATTTGGCCTACATAAATACGGAAGTGCTGAAAGTGGAACCAGAAGTGCTAACATGCTAACTCATTTAGGGGATTTGGCCTACATAAATACGGAAGTGCTGAAAGTGGAACCAGAAGTGCTAACATGCTAACTCATTTAGGGGATTTGGCCTACATAAATACGGAAGTGCTGAAAGTGGAACCAGAAGTGCTAACATGCTAACTCATTTAGGGGATTTGGCCTACATAAATACGGAAGTGCTGAAAGTGGAACCAGAAGTGCTAACATGCTAACTCATTTAGGGGATTTGGCCTACATAAATACGGAAGTGCTGAAAGTGGAACCAGAAGTGCTAACATGCTAACTCATTTAGGGGATTTGGCCTACATAAATACGGAAGTGCTGAAAGTGGAACCAGAAGTGCTAACATGCTAACTCATTTAGGGGATTTGGCCTACATAAATACGGAAGTGCTGAAAGTGGAACCAGAAGTGCTAACATGCTAACTCATTTAGGGGATTTGGCCTACATAAATACGGAAGTGCTGAAAGTGGAACCAGAAGTGCTAACATGCTAACTCATTTAGGGGTTTTGGCCTACATAAATACGGATGTGCTGAAACTGGAACCAGACATGCTAAAATGTTAAAGTATTTCCAGGATATATATATTTATACAACAGTTCGTTCTGGTTCTCAAATCTGATTGGTTGAGAACTGTGAGATATGGTATCGCTACAGGAACACCCTTTCACAATTTTGTATCACTCCGCTTGTTCTAGCCGGGTCTATGTTTTTTTTTTTATTGTTCACTGAGCTAATCGTAGAGTACCTTAGTTAATATAACAAGAAACGTCTAGCTTCGTGGTCTCTCTCTCTCTCTCATTTGGATGCACGTCTTGCCACATTGTTTCTATCTTATAACCTCATTATTTCTCACTAATAACCTAACTGAAGCAGCACATGCCCTTGATACCAATTCTAAAAGCGACGTATGTTTAACTGTCTACTTAAGCTTTGAATCCGTGACGGAAGTAGTTCTGCACAAAATTAGGCACTCAGTTGTTTCTTGTTTAATTACACACAAGTTCCATCGAACTGTTGTATAAAGCAATATCACTCTCGTACTCGAGCGATACCTGCTCTATATCAGCGGCTGTGATTGCCTCGTGCCTCTGGCCTAATCACAGCCATGCTGATATAGAGCCGGTATCGCTCTCGTACTCGAGTGATATTGCTCGAATATATATATATATATATATATATATAATATATATACATATATATATATATATATATATTCTATGACACAAAAACAGTATTATTTATAAAATTATAGTGGATTTATATCGTCCGTCATGACACTCACTGTGAGAAACACTGAAAGCGGAGTGATACAAACAGTGAAAAAGTTGGAGTGCTGTTATCACTAGAATATCTGCTTATCTGTTCTCTGTGAATTTGGGGATGGCGGCTCTCTCTTTGGTGATGAAGATAAAGTGAAAAGTCACATACATCACAAACCACAGGAAGACAGATGGGGAAAACCACTTAAATGTTCATGTCTAGAGCGTACTTGTCTTCAGAACACTGAAAGACAGAAGATGTTCCTTTTGCTCTGTGAATGCAGTGACCTTTTGACCCTCAGCGGGGTGAAGGACTTCTGCATCTCTGTTCTCATGGGAGTAAAGAGCATATGACGTGTGCAGTTACGTGTTTGTGTGCTCAATTCCAGGTAAAAGGATATTGTGAGACTTCATAACGTGACAGTTTTCACGTGCGGCACGAGCGCGGTGTGACATCGGTCACGTCTCGTGATGAACTCTATTAGTAATGGCCATAATAAATGCTACATATGATTGATTCCGTCCTTTAGTGCAATAGTTCAGGATTAGTGTCACATCCAGATCCATTCTGGTGTGCAACACCCATTTTTCACCATCTAATCAATTCCCAAATGATAAAATCAATTACTGCCATAGATTTTTCTTCACTTAATGACAGAAATGCACCAATGTGCTAACAGGGAATGTTCTGGCAAGGTTTTCTCAAAGTTATACACAAACGTTCATCAAAGTTTATCAAAGTTTTGTTGTTAGCTGGACTTTTGTTTAAATGTTACTACTTGTTTCAGAACGTTCAGAGAACATTCAAAAGACATTCCCATGATGATACATTAGAATACGTTATAAAAATGGAATGTTCCCTTAACATTCATGTAAACAAATGTTTTCAAACATTTAAAGGACTGGATATTTTGAATGTTCAGAGAATATTTCATTACACAAAGGTGTTTTTAGTTCACAGTAACCTCCTCAAGTTTATGGCTACAGTATTTGGTTTAGAAAAATGCCAGGGTCAGAGCTAATCAGATTCAGATTTATGTGTTTAATTACATTTCAAATAAAAATGCATGGCTGAAAATTACAGCAGTGCTCGTCCGTTAGGAAACAAATCCACTAATACAGCAAAAATGTGTTTGAACTGCACAGAGCAATCCATAACAGCACTGTAATTATGCATGTGTGCTGTATTTAAATGCATATTAGCATAACAAAACACAAGGAAGGAATAGCTCATTTCCTCATTTCTCAGTATGTCTGTGTAAATTCATTTTTCTAAAACATACAGGATGTAAAATGTTCGAACAAAAAATGTTTGTTTGGTTAAATAGTTACTTAGTCATTAATCTTCATAACCATAAGGCAAGAGAGAAAATGTGGCACCTGTATCACTAAACATCTGTTTAGTAAGTAAAAGATAAAAGCCCTATTCTGAAAGCTAGAAGGCTGCCTATATGAACAACCTGAACAACCTCGAAAGCAAAGATTGTTCCTAGATGCAGGTATCAACGTAATATTGTAATTTATCAAAACATATAATTTGTAGATAAGAAGATCCCTTACAAGCTCACTCTTTAATCATATTTTAAAAACAATAGGAGTCATTATGAAAATAAGATGTATACTTTAAATTTCAGCATATTGCATTTAAAGGGGTCATATGATGTTGCTAAAAAGAACATTATTTGGTGTAATGAAATGTGTTTATGCGGTTTAAGGTTAAAAAAACACATTATTTTCCACATACTGTACATTATTGTTTCTCCTCTATGCCCCGACTTTCTGAAACGCGTAGATTTTTACAAAGCTCATCGTTCTGAAAAGCGAGGTGTGCTCTGATTGGCCAGCTATCCAGTGCGTTGTGATTGGCCGAATACCTCAAGCGTGTGACGGAAATGTTACGCCCCTTACCATATTGTAATGCCTTGTCCCGGCCGGAGCAACGAGACATAAACATTAAAATCCATTATAAACTTTGTATGATGTAATCCACTTCACCACATGGAGTTAGTGATGGCAAGACACCGATATAAGATATATGAACAATCCACATAGAAATTTTTTTTTCATTTTAAAAATAAAATGTTATTAAAATGCCTAAATATTTATTTATCTTGTTACCTCACTGAAAGCCATGGCCATCACGCATGTAATTGTATTTATTTATTTAGAGAGAGGCATTAGCAGTAGCGCTTGCTTTAGAGAGTAGTCGTCCTATGTTTTTTATGTCTTATAAATTCATATTTTCATTATTTATTATAAATGTGTATTTTTTTTCCTAATTATTTTGATTTATTTGTTTGTAACATTTTGGATATTTTATAATTGTTGTAGATAGATTGGGTGATTTCCAAACTTTTTAATAAAACTTTGAGGGGACACACGTCTGCTGAAAGTAATAACTGAGGGTCGTGATTCATTTATGGTTATGGCATTTTCAAAGACGGCTTCTAATAGAGAAAACAAATAGCTGTGATGTGTTGTGCAGGGTAGCAATTCTCTAAAATCTGTTTTTCACTTCAGAAATTGTATTCACTTGCCAGTGGTGAACTTTCTGCTTTTAAAAACCTTTATTGTTGAAAGTTTATACAACCCTCAATCGTGACATTAAAACACATTTTATGCTTAATATTAAAGGGTCATGAAATGCCACAGTGTTTATTTTTTTTTATTTTGTACTGTTCTCTGAGATCCACTTATAATGTTATCAAGAATCTTCATAAAAAACATAATTTAGAAGTAATAGGCTATTTTCTGTCCTGTTTTTTTAACCCCCCTCATCAGTAAATGCTCAGTTTGAATAGGTGTGACGGATTGTAGACTCGGAAGTAAATGCCTAGGGCTGGACGATATGGCCAAAATTTCTATCACGATAAATTTCTTAATTTCGGACGATACGATATATAATTCCGATATCAATATGAACACTATTAAAAAAAGCCTCGTAAAAACTACCAAGAACGTCCACAACAGATGCTGTCTAACAAACTTATGAAAAATGAATTTGGCAAGTCTATGTACCTCATATAAAACCATATAATATTTTAGAGAAAAAAAAACAGCACAAATAAATGAATGTTGACCTTTTATTTGTATTTAGCCTTCATAAAAAACAAGAAATGTGAAATCACTGTCAAATAATCGTCTCAGACTCACCTAATTAATATTAATATCTTTAACTTCAAATTGTAGTTATTTTAAATATTTGTACTATTTAAAATAACTGTTTTCTATTTGAAAATATTTGAAAATGCAATTTATTCCTGTGATTTCAAAGCTATATTTTTAGCATCATTACTCCAGTCACATGATCCTTCAGAAATCATTCTAATATTCTGATTTGCTGTTCAAAAATTATTTATTATTATGTTGAAAACAGCATAACATAACAGGTTTCTTTGATGAATAGAAAGTTCAGAAGAGCAGCATTTATCTGAAATAGAAATTGTTTGTAACATAATAAATGTCTTTATCATCACTATTGATCAATTTAAAGCACCCTTGCTAAATAAAAGTATTAATTTCTATAATTTCTTTCCAGAAAAAAAGAAAACAGAAATCATACTGACTCCAAGCTTTTAAATGGTATAGTGTATAATGTTACAAAAGATTTTTATTTCAGATAAATGCTGATCTTTGGATCTTTATATTCATCAAAGAATCCTGAAAAAAAATTACTCAACTGTTTTAAATATTGATAATCAGCAAATCGGCATATTAGAATGATTTCTGGATCATGTGACACTGAAGACTGGAGTAATGATTCAATGACAAATTCAGCTTTGATCACAGAAATAAATTGTATTTTAAAATATATTCAAATAGAAAGCAGTTATTTTAAATAGTAAAAATATTTCAAAATGTTACTGTTTTTGCTGAACTTGGGATCAAATAATAATTCTAAAAAAAAAAAACATTAAAAAGCTTACTGTTCAAAAACTTCTGACTGGTAGTGTAGGCTAATTATTCTTATATATTGAAACAAATGTGCTTTAGCCAGTATAAAGAGTATGAAAAGTGCTCTGAGTTGCTGCAGAAAAGAAAATGAGCTACAATAAAAAACATGTTGCTGGAGACGGGCTTATTATTGAAAATGCAAACTGATTGTCTGCCAGCAGGAGGCGCTTTGAGAGCGGTAGAACTAGCGGTTCTCCAGTAACGGCTGTAATCAAAGCAGCGCCGCTCATGAATGCTACTTTATCAGATAAAATGAAAACGCCATCGAAACTTTTCTGAAGACAGTCCTTTCCCTTTAGAGATACATTCATATAAAACACCCGCGACGTGCAGTCAAATGCCACAAATAAATCAATGTTTGGGAAACACCGGTAATGTATATTGAAATATCGGAAATGTGATATTACATCAAAAATCATATTACCGTTATTGAAAAAAAAATTATATCGCGATATATATTGACATTGAGTTATTGCCCAGCCCCATAAATGCCCACTGCTATGATAATAGTATATGGATAATAGTTTTTTATGTTTGACAGCGACATTCCTCATAGATGGATGCTGCTGGCTGTGATTTAGGTTAAAAACGCTTAAATAACTCAATACATGTCAAACGATCTGTAAGAATAGACAGCAATATGACCACGTAATGAAAACAGTTACTCACACTTGTGTTGCGACATTACTGTCGGATCCAATATCGTTTTTATTTTTAGACTAAAGACAAAGATTTCAGTTCTGAAACTTACAGGATGTTTTTATAGTACAATGACCTCTTATCTGTCAAAATTTTTGGTTTCTCAGTTCATGACCCCTTTAAAGTAATGCATTACAATATTGTGTTTACTCCCTAAAAAAGTAACTAATTGCACTACTTGGTAACTTTTTATGGAGAGTAATGCATTATATTACTTATTTGAAAGATAATTTTGTTGTAAATTTAAAAGGAATGCGTTACTTTACTAGTTACTTGAAAAAGTAATCTGATTACGTAACTTGTAATGCGTTATCCCCAACACTGCAAATAATATGATATCCGGTTTCACTTCCAGACAAAGATCTTCAATAAAATAATGCGTCTCTGCACCTCCAACATGTCCATGGGGGGAATGACAGTGGGCCAGATCTGCAACCTCGTCGCTATAGACACCAATCAGCTGATGTGGTTCTTCTTCCTGTGTCCCAACCTGTTCGCAATGCCAGTTCAGGTAAAGCCTCACATGACGTTCCTTTCTCTATAGAGTTCAATGCATTGGGGAATATTGGTGCGAGTTTGTGAATGGGCTTTGAGTCGAATGTTTCGCATTGCCTTATTTGCCTCAGAGAAGCAAGTTTTTAAATAGATATTCCCTCACATGGGTTTTATCTGGGATGTTATCTGTACTTGACCCACTTAAGAAGAAATACACTGAGAATCCAGTGACATCCCAACACTGTAGCAAAATTGGTGAATGTATGTAATGTAGTCTAGGTTATAGACTACAGTGACATATAGACACCCCTTCCCCCCTTTTCCTTTGTTTTGTGTTTGTTTTGGCTTGCTTTACCATGCATCGCATTGTGTTTTTGGTTTGTTTTGTTTGCTTTGCTTTTGTTTTGTTTCATTTTGCTTCATTTTTCGTTTTCCTTACACTTTTTTACTTTTAGTTTTTGTCTTGTTTTCTGCTTCACTTTGTGTTGTTTTGCAATTTGCTTTGTTTTATTTTGTTTTGCTTTGTTGTGTTTTGCTTTTAGTTTTTGTATTTCTTTTTGTTTTGTCTTGTGTTGTCTTGTTTTGCTTTTTTGTGTTTTGATTTTAGTTTTTTGTTGGTTTTGTTTTGTTTTTGTATTTGTTTTTGCTTTGTCTTTTGTTGTTTTGCTGATTTTTTATTTGCGCTGTATTGCTTTTTTCGGTTTTGTTTTTTGTTTGTTTTGTTTTTGTATTTCTTTTTGTTTTGTCTTGTGTTGTCTTGCTTTGTGTGGTCTTGTTTTATTTGTTTGCTTTCCTTGCTTTGTGTTGTGTTTGCTTTGTTTTATTTTGTTTGCTTTGCTTTTGCTTTGTTTTATAATGGTCCTGTCATTTATGCTTGTAAATTAATATTAGGGCTATCTGTCAATGAAAATCTTTTATTGTGATTAATCTTGCGATTTATTTGTTTGCTTTCCTTGCTTTGTGTTGTGTTTGCTTTGTTTTCTTTTGTTTGCTTTGCTTTTGCTTTGTTTTATAATGGTCCTGTCATTTATGCTTGTAAATTAATATTAGGGCTATCTGTCAATGAAAATCTTTTATTGTGATTAATCTTGCGATTTTTTTTTCTTCAAAGATTACACTTTAACACATTCAGTTTCATAGAGTTTTGAAGAAGAAAAATAGACCTTTTGTGTAATTACTGGGTTTATAAATTTGTGTTGATGACGCTCATAATGCAAAATTTATCCAAGAATTTACTAAACCCAATCTTTAACTTCATTAAAATTCACAGGGAATGCAAAACAACATGTCACTGCAAATATCAATGCTGTCAAATATCAATCAAATATGCAATAATTCAATAATTAAAGGAGAACTTCCCCTACAAGTTGGATTACTGGATGTAATCTTATATGTGTAAAATAAATTACCAGTATATCAGTCAAAGTTTTCTCAACAGACTAACTCTTATCTTTGAATGGCATGACATGAGTTGGTTACAGCAGACAGTTCTTGAGCTGAATAAAAGAAAATGTAAAAACGTTGCAAAGCTGCTCAGTATTCCTCACACTCCTCCTGCTATTGAACATGTTTCTCCTGAGAGTAGACAGTGTGAAATATCAGATACCACTGCAAGATCTAATTTTAGCTTTTGTATAACAGTATTTTTGCCCTCAAAATCCTCATCTTGTGTAAAATGGAGTGTCGCTTGTAGAAATCTGTTTCTTTGTTAGTGTGGCTCTTGAATGATGAGGACATATACAGTAATTGTTTCATGTAAAAAAAAATGCATTCATTGATGGCAGGTTGAAAAATTCAACAAGCCAAATAATTAAGTCATTAAATTACTCTTGAAATAATGAGAGTCCTAGAGAACTTTTGTTGTGAAACAGATTGTATATACATGAACACATTTGAATCTCACAAACAGGAAGTCTCAAGACAGACTAGGAAGTTGAAGTCCCTATACGTTTTGTATGGCACGTACTCCGCTCTTGGGGTTACTCGTGGCTGCCTTTGTGCAAATCTTGATTAGTTCCCTAAGGCTCCTTCTTTATTTTTGAACAAAATTTTCAGTAATTGTTTCATGTAAAAAAAAATGCATTCATTGATGGCAGGTTGAAAAATTCAACAAGCCAAATAATTAAGTCATTAAATTACTCTTGAAATAATGAGAGTCCTACAGAACTTTTGTTGTGAAACAGATTGTATATACATGAACACATTTGAATCTCACAAACAGGAAGTCTCAAGACAGACTAGGAAGTTGAAGTCCCTATACGTTTTGTATGGCACGTACTCCGCTCTTGGGGTTACTCGTGGCTGCCTTTGTGCAAATCTTGATTAGTTCCCTAAGGCTCCTTCTTTATTTTTGAACAAAATTTTTTTTTCACTCTGCATATTTAATAATAAATAGCTTCTCCATAGTAATATTATTGTCTAATATTTATATTCATATATTTTGTTAATTTTTCACGTTACTTTAAACAAATTGAACTTGCCAGTTTAACACATTTATAGAATTATACTATATGATAATATAACATTTTAATTGTATTATATATTTACATTAATATAATTATTAATAATTATTCATCACAATTATTTAAATATTTAATTATTATTCTTGAATATATTATTTATTTATTTATAATTGAATATGTTCAACTTTATTAATTAAATGTTATCTCAAGATTTGAACACATTTACAGAATTATAATATTTCATAATATTAAAAGTTTTACCCTCTGTAAAACTGCCATGATATTTTGATCATTTGTGGGAAGGAAAATGCTGTGAAAATAAAATTAAATCGATTTTTTTTTTTTATGTATTACTCTTTTAATTGGTATATATTGTGAATAAATATAATGATATGTGGGATATGGGTTATATTGTGAATAAATAAGACATAATGTCAATGTAAAATAAAGTAAATAATTTCCAGGTAGTATTTTAATAATTTGCTTTAGTGCAATGCTAAGTAATTACCGTATTGGCCCGAATATAAGACGACCCCCCTTTTTCCAGATGTACCTTTTGGAAAAAGGCTTTTTAAAAACCAAATCTTGTTTTTTCTCAGTAAAACACATTTTGTCTTCAATTATTTTCTTATTGCATATTTTTCCTATTTTAATTTTTGTTTTGAAAGTATGGTAAAAACTGGTAAACTGTACCAACAATCACATTTAAAAAATATACACTTTTTGATATGCCATTAAAAAAAAAAAAAAACAGGTGGCCCATCTGAATTAGGACATTTAGGCTATCCATCTAATAATAGCCTACCAAAATCTTATTAACAGTAGAAGTTAAATCTTACTGTAGTCTTCAAATCTGGGTACTGTCTTACGTTTTAAAATCACAAAGAGAGTTTGGTCGCGATCTTTACAAAATGCATTTACGTATTTCATGGCACACTCATTTTATGCGTATTTGGTGCCACCTATTGTTGTGGGTGTATTATTGACACGTCAAAGTCTAGACCCTGAATATAAGACGACCGCGTTTTTTCAGATGTATTTCCAAGAAAAAAACATCGTCTTATAGTCGGGTCAATACGGTAATCATACAAAAAAAGAAAAATGTGTTGTCTGTGAAAATACAGCGTCTTTTATATTTTATAAAGGGGGGTCATCATAATGTGGGATCCTTGGCTTGGGATAATACTGTGGGATCCCATTATGCAAACCCTGCACTAAGCTTCCTGATCATTAAAATACCGGGCAGTTTGCCATAAACCTTATCTTTATCACTTACTGTGACAAAAGTGCTACTGAATATAAAAGGGTGACATTTTCCTCTTGGTTTCAGATCATAGTAGGAGTCATCCTCCTTTACTACCTCCTGGGAATAAGTGCCTTGATAGGGGCCACGGTCATCACCCTCCTGGCTCCGGTGCAGTACTTTGTGGCGACCAAGTTATCAGATGCACAGAAAAGCACATTGGTGAACTCCTTTACTTTGTTTAATGTCTTAAGTAACTGTGCACATATAGATTTTGTTCAAATACAGATGACATTTGTACAGGAAAGCCAGAGCTTGTTCAAATGATAAACCTGTCAAATATTGAGCTCAAATAAGACCCAGGAGATTTTAGGAGCCTCTAGCATTGTTACTAAGGTATAATTTATGCGTTGACGCTCAGGAATATTCTAGCGAACGGCTGAAGAAGACCAATGAACTGCTGCGGGGTATCAAGCTCTTGAAACTGTATGCCTGGGAGCACATCTTCTGCTCAAGTGTGGAGGAGACCCGGCGCAAAGAGCTCACCAGCCTGCAGACCTTTGCCCTCTACACCTCCATATCCAGTAAGACTCAGCTTTCACAGTTACTTCAGATAATAATAAGACTGAGAGCAACCATGCTTGTTAGAGATGTCATGTAGGGTTATATATATATGTATATTGTATAGGGTTCTTTGTATTAAAGCAAAAAATAACACCTATTTTTCAGTAAATATTGGTTAAAACTGTGAACAATAGCAGCTCACACTCTCAATTGTATCAAAAGCAATTTTGGCAAGAACATAAAATGCGAATCTCCCAGCTGGCCAAATTCACACAGCATTATGAGTTATCACTGCCTACAGGCATCACTGAAAACGGTGTTGGACCCAATGTAGCAGATTTATTTTAGATTCTAAAGTCCGAAATAATAATTAAAATTAATATTTAAAATGCAATAAATATAACATGTAAAATAATATATAAAAATAGTTCTTGATAGTATATAATTTTATTTATTATTTAACATTTTTATCAAATGCTGTTTGTGTTTTATATACATTAATAATATATACTTTATATTAAGTAATTTCTTATTTTTTTGCAAAAATTAAAATATAAAAGTGTGTCTGTGTATGTATGTATATTTAACAACAAGTTAAATGCTTATATATAAATTAGGGATGCACCGATACCACTTTTTCCAGTACTCGCCCGATACCGATACTTTTATTTTTGGTACTTGCCGATACCGAGTACCGATACCGATATTTTTATTGCATTTGTACATTTTTTTGAATATTGGGTACAGAAACTAATAGGGTATGTATAATGTTAGGTGGTTAACTTCATTTATCAAATAGATACAGTCAAACCAAAATTTATTCAGACACCTTCAACATTTCTCACATTATCACAGTTTATTCACTATAGTTTAGAAAATGGTAATAAAATATGACAAGATCTCAGAGTTACACTGTGTCCGAACAAATTCATCTTGATAATGTTAGATCATTTTGATAGAAAGGTATGTAATAGATTACAATCAACCAAAATAATTCAGACAGCTGTTAGTATGACAGTATTTACACAACTATGAATACTTTGTCGGGCAACCCTTAGCCTTAATGACAGCCTGTAGTCTCCTGGGCATGCGGTCAACCAGCTTCACGAAAACCTCAACTTCAGTTTTTTTTTCCCAGACTCGGTCTGGTTAATTTTTGGACCCAAATTTGTATCAATTTTACTGGTAGTCCATTGTATGAATAATTTTTGGGTATGATTTGTCAGTTTACTTTATTTTGCTATCCTCACTTACATAAATGAACTATAGTGTCCTGCACCCACTAGTAAAAAAAATATCAAAAATTATATCTGGTCTCTGAATAATTTTTGGTTTGACTATATCTTTCGGTTATTTTCACACTTAATTATGCCCATTAAAATGTATTTTACAAATTTGTGTTACTTTCACTGTTAATTTTTTTGCTCTATTGTACATCATCTTTAATTTAATACCATTAGAGCTGCTTCGTTGCAGCGGCTTATACTGTAATCACAAGCTTTGCTGTAATAATGCAGGGAACCACTCGTTATAAATCTCCT